TGATTTAAAAATATCTTTGGAGTGGTGGAGACTGTTGAAAATACAATTTCTACACATCTTCAGCCAGAAGTCAATCTTCTGGCTTAGAGATGCTTAAGTAGATATAGCCCTAGATTTGCTGATTAGACCACAAGTTTGCTTCCATGTGTTAGATGATGCTTCTCGCTGCATCTGTGTAAGCGTTTCAGGCTAAAACACAGGTTAATTGGTGATAACAATGAAGGAACCATTAATAAAAAAAGTATCCATAACTTGTAAAGGGAAAAGAATGACTACAAGTCCTTTCATTGTCAAGCAGGCCCCACCTTGACCCCTAATTGGTATTTACTAGGATTTTACAGGTCCAGATAGATGTTAACTTTTAGAAAATGGAATAACATGTAAATTATTCTCTATAGAGCAATGCAAATGATGTTTTCCCTGTAGAAATGTAAATGATTTCTAGTAGAACAGATAAACCTAGAGGTTATAGTTTCATTGACCTGTAGAACATTAACCAGGTTTGTATCTAAATTAGCATTCTTTCTTCCAATGACTACGAACACCTCTGCCTCTCCTACAATCCTCTGAGTCAGCTTTACCATTCTTCTGGTTCCTTCATTCACGAGTTAAATGTTTTATCCATGTTCACTTAGAGAGACACACATAGACACACGGCACACACATAATGACACACAATTAAATACCCACAAGTATGGCTAAAACTAAAAATATTAACAATACTAAATATTTACAAGGAGGTAGAACAACTAGAATTCTCTTATATTGCTGGTGGGAATAGAAATTGAAACAATTACGTTGGAAAAATGGGTTTGTCACTACCCACTAAAGCTAAACATACTTAAACCCAATGATCTACTCCTGGGTATATATCCAAAAGAAGTCCATGATTATGTCTCTGTGCCGCTCTCCCACCAACCTGGCCAGAATGGATTCTGCACAGGACGGCTTGCTTGTGACCAAGCTTTCATCTCAAAGTCTGGCACAAGGACACCAGAGTGGCAGAGTCTCAGTACTTGCTCCTTAGCTGCAAGGGAGCTTTGGAGAGACAGCACCTGCTACGACTTCATAAACTGGAGGGGTTCCTCAAACATAAGGTGGGGGTTCTCATATGAAGCATCTCGAAAGCATGACAAATGTACAGGGGAGGTAATTCAGTTAGTCTGCAAATACTGAAAGCATGCTCATGCTGTCTAGCCATGGTGCTGGTGAGGGAACCCTTGGGCTACTTTCCTCTTAGATTAATTGTTTTTCCTCACTTCCTTGCAGGAAGGGAAAGGAATTTGTGCCTATTGGGGGAGAAGCTGCTGAGCGATTACGTTCAGATCTTAGTAGTAGATTAATTCTTTTCCTTCCTGACCAAGATGGGCGCGCTTTTCCTTTTATAGCTTTATGAAAAGCAAGAGTAATGATCCCACCTACCTTTTCCTTGAAGAGATTTATTAATTTTAGTAATGAACTTGAACCATCAGAATCTACTTAAATTCTTGGTGGTGGGTCCAGCTTCCTACAGCTCCATTCTTGCCACCGTTGCAAAACTATTGTGGCCCTGGGGTGTAGTTACATCAAAAACAAGAACAAAATGAACTTGGAGGCTATTGTTCTGAAGGGGAGTTGACAAGCAATTGTGTCTGGAAACGTTCCTCTTCACTAAAGTTATTTTGAGACAACCAAAAATAACAGATTAATCTTAAACAGTGCAAAATGTTCTCCACACAAATATGGAGGATAGTGGTGACGTCAGGCATTTAAACAGAGAAGAAAGCGTGTTCTTAGTGGACATTTAGATTAAGGATTCATCCAAAGAACCAATTCTGTTATAACTGCATTGAGAAGCAGAGCCATTTCTTTATTACAAAGCCCTGTCCTCAAAACAGTAAAGATGACATGATAGGAGCCCACAATGGGCGATGCCATGTTTGCGTGTGTGTGTGTGTGTGTGTGTGAGAGAGAGAGAGAGAGAGAGAGAGAGAGAGAGAGGAGAGAGAGGGCCGTAAGCAGTAGAAACTAAGACATCGTAGATGTGGTGTATGCAAGAGTTTTGTTCACTAGCACTGCGCTGGGCATGTATTAGGGTGTCAGGAAACATTTGTGACCTGAAGGACTTTTTGACCTTGAAGATTATATTAATAGATAAACAGGGAGATATCAGCCCTTGGGTTCTAGTATTCATATAGCCATGCAATTTCTGAAGAATATCAGATGGGACCTTGATTTGCTCTTGTAACAATGAGTAGGAACATAATTCCACATGTATTTAGTACCCAGGTAGCTGCGAATTAAGGCAAGTGGTATCACCAAGATGGGAATTTGTTGAACACACAAGACCTTGGCTGAGGGGGTCTGATAAAGCTTGACCAGAACAACACAGAGGCTTCAGTAGGGCTTTCTCGTGCTCAGACTGAATTAATTATATCATCTGTCGAATTTGTCTAGGATCTTTTGCTTGAAAGTGGTAGAAATTCTAGTCAAAGTAAAGTAAGGGGGGAAAACCAAGTTACTTGTTCACGTAAAGTCAAAGTTCAGAAGGTAGTCTGGTTTTCAGCTTGAATTCCATCAGAAATCTGCCTTTTTACACCTCTGCTCTGTTTCCCTTGTGTTGACTCCATTCTCGAGTGGGCTTTCTCCATCTGGTAGGAGGGTCGGTCATGGCAGCTCCAGCTTAGCTGATCCTTAGAGCACACGATCCCAGAGGAGGGAGAGGGGTTCTCTCCTCCACTCTTGTCATCAATATTGAAAAGAACAGATTGCCCTACCTGAGTTGAATCCTGTTAGGCGATTCTGCTGTGCATGTGTGTCGGGGGCTGGGGAGAGGCAGGAAAGACCCTTCTGTTAAGGTGACAAATAGGACAGGGAAGGACGACAGTGAGCAGAGCTCTGGGGGCCGTCACGTGGGAAGCTGGGGTGGGTGGGAAGAAAGGATGGCTGTGCAGAGCCACACAGCTGCTGACAGCCTCTCCTCACCACGTTTACGATTAGCAGCCTCGGGCACAGTATGATTCCAGGGGCAGCGTGAAGGGCCTTTCTGCCTGAAGGACATATTTCCATTGCACAATGTGTCTGGAATCAGTTTCACTCAGGGCAAAGCATTTTGTTCCAGATTAATCTTTTATACATCAAAAAACGTCCCAACTGGAAGTATCTGGCAGAACTGACTTATTCATGAGAGTGTCAGCCAAACATAACTGCTGCTTTCTGTGACCTGCTGGAGGTCAGAAAGGAGGATGGCGTAGGACTCCCAGGATGGGAAGCAGGGGCCGGGAGAGACAGCCTGTGCCCACAGCAGCCCAGGAGCTGTGGGTAAAGAGAGGCCAGCCATTGTCGAAGAAGAGCTGAAAGGGACTGAGGTCTTAGCTTAAAAAGCTAAGTCTGTATCTTTGGGGCATTGGGGTCAAGGTCCCTCTGCTTGGACAACCCCTGTTCTGTAGAGGTCATTTTTGGTGGTTCAGTCTTGGCAACATCAAACACTTGACTATGTGGTGAGTTTCGTCTTTGTTTAAACACAAAGGCCTACTTTTCTTTCCAGGGAACACGGTCCCAACCAGCAGGACAAAATAAACAAAAGAAAATCCATTGAAACAGTGAAAAAAAGACCCTAAAGGTCAACACTTGCTCTTAAATATATTGGCTGACATTAAAGAAAAAAATGTCCCAAAGTTCAACAAGGGAAACACATTTAAAAACGGAATTTTAACTAAGGTACTAAAGGGAAATCGGTGTGTGCAAACCCAGAGGAAGTTCCAGCGGGTCTGACGAACAGTGCATGAGCTGTGGCATTAGACAGACGTGGTTTCTGACCTCTTGGAGGCTCACTCGTGAAGTAGGTGACTAGCTATTTCATGAAAATGATGGCTCCCTGTGGGCCAGTGTGAGGTTAAAGAAATAACGCACGTGCACATGCAGCCCTCAGGCAGGCTGAAGGCCGCACCTGCTGAGGGATGTGCCTGAGAAATGAGGGTCACTTTGGACCCATGGCCAGTTCTCAGGATTGGGCTGAGATGGCTTGTCACCATTGGCTTGCTCCTTGTAGCAGGCAGGCCTCTAGCCAGGCTCGTGAGAGACCCGTGAGAGGGAAGCCAGGAGGTATCAGAGCCCTGTGAGAACCGAAAGGGCCTCTCCCCAGGGGGCCTTATCCTGAGCAGCTGGCAGTCGCCACCATCCTGTCTTCTTGGGGAAGTGAGGCATCTGGGAAGCCAACCCCCGCCGGGAGCTGTGTGTTCTCCTTCATTGATCATCTCTAGAAATTTCCATGTCTTTTACCATAAAAGGAAACTATACCTGTGTGTCCACTGGAATCTTTCCTTCGCTCTTGGCATCATCACGTGGACAGTCACTCAATATGTAAGCGCTTGGCACTAATTCTAGAAGCACAGGAGACGTTAGCGCCCCTCTGTAGCCCACTCTGTAGAGGACGAGCCATCTCAAGATGGGACAGGCCCACTGCTCACAGGGCGTCCCGGGTTCTCACAGTTCCTGTCATCACCTCCCCCTGCCTTGAGAACTCTCCAAAATTCCTTCTCGTCAACTTGCATATGTTCTTCCATGTTCCAATTTCACACCCTCTCTCCTTTTAAAGAAAATCTGGGGCAGGACTTCTGGACTTGACCATCAGCCAAGGAGAACAAACTGTGCCTGTGTGGTGACCCTGAGTTGGAGGAAGAAACAACCATTCTAGACTAGCTCTCTGCTATCGAGTCAGAGATGCCCAAGACCTGGCCTCCACTTGCCTCCATCTCTGCATCTCTCTAAGGAACGGCTTGCTCTCCCACCAACCTGTGGAGGAAGATAAGGCAGCAGCTTGTACAAGATTGTAAGAAAAGCCCCCCTCCACCACCCTCCCCACTCCCCCCAGGCTCTCAGTGGTTCCACTCTTGATTCATTAACTTATCCAACAAATATCAACAGAGTGTCTGCCACGTGCTGCTTCTGCTCTAGATAATAAAGATACAGCTGTGAAAAAAAAGACAGCTCTGCCTTTCCGTTCCAGCGCAGGAGGGAAGACAAACAACAAGCAAGATGAACAAGCAAACGATGGTGTCTCAGGTGGTTTAAGTTGCCGACCTTACAAACAAAACAGCTGGTTATTTTACCAGTGAAAGGAGTTTATTCAGGAACAGCCAAATAATTGAAATTCTGGATATCCGTGCTGTGGCAGACCACAGGCAAATCCAACAAATTTTCCCTATAAAATAATGTTTTATAGGGAAAAAGGAGGAAATTGGGAGGGTTGTTTCGAAGGAAAGTCCGCTGGAGGAAAGCAGGCATTCAGGGTGGTGACGGCTTCTCATTGGCTGAGTCGCTGGGGTCCTAGATTTCTGTTTGGGATGCAATGGACATTTCTTCCTGTAATTGGCTATCTTCCCGTTGGCGACTTCTTTTTGTGGGGGTCTGTAATTGACTTTTTTGTGAGTCACTTCCAGTGGTACTGGGTGGGAGCTCCCCCTTCTGGCCTCCTGACTTCATTTTAGATGAAGTTTCCCCTGATTAATTTTCAGAGTGCTACGGAGAAAAATGAGTGGTAGAGAGACTGCAGGGGTAGTTTGCAAGTTTAAATGGAATGGGGAGGGAAACCTCAGGATAAAATAACCTTCCAGCAGAGACCTGCTGGAAGTGAGGCCAGGGAACAGATCACACAGGCCTGGGGGCACGACAAGGACTCATCTTTTCTGGCCATGTTGGAAAGTGATGAAACCAGTTGTCTACCTTCTGCTCTCTCTCTTACTCTCTCCCTCTGTGCGTTTTGGAATAATTTTTAATCTGTTTATTATTGTGTGTAATTGTATATAGACAGAGGCACTTACTATATTTTTTATCACATTTTGGATATTTGTCACATATATGAGACCAAGCCCCGAGTGAAGACGGCAGTTTTCTGTTGCCCACACGAGCGTAGGCCACAGATCTTCCCTCCGGGGGACGGTGAAGCTGCAGGAGGTGGTTGGTGGGCTCCAGCTGCCCCTGGGATCTCTGCCAGCCCCAGTCCCTCTTCCGAATGAACCCACCACCCACTACGTGCTCTCAGCTTCAGGCCAGCTTCTCTGCCTGGCCCCCAGCCATCCCCCACATCCCCAGTCAAACTGTCATTCATAAGACCCTCTTATATGGAGACCAGGAAGGGACCACCCATGAAAGACCCTTTGCCAGGAGGGTTGAGTGCGGTATAAATTGGAGTTAAGTTTTCCTTTTTACTTTGTTGCTAAAAAACACCACACCTGATTTTGAGAATAAGGATAAATTCTTCTAAGGCAATACTAAAAAACAAAACAAAGCAAATACAAAAACAGAAGCGAGAACCTTAATTTGACTATGTGTTAAAAGAGGGAAACTGCATTGAGTGGGCATCCTGTGGAATTTAGATGTTACTGTTGATAATCTGAACCTAGAGATGAATTCAGAGATCATGAGAAGTTTTTTAAAAATACTAGTCTTATTGACACAGACCAGAATTTGAAAGAAAATATTGGTTCTTTAAGTACAAATACTTTACAATAGAAAATAAATGTATGAAAAAATATATTTGTATAAAATAGAAATGTATGGGAACATATTCATTCATGTAAAAATTCCATTCATGTAAAAGTTGGCATATCTATGTCAAGTGAAAAAGGATTGCTTGTCTGGAATGCTATTTTAAAAGGTGATTTCAACGACATTTTGTTAAACGCCTGTTACTCCTTGGCTCTCCGATTTTTATTTAGCTGTCTTAGCAGAATGGAGATTGTTGTTAGGGGTGTTACGCTCAGAAATAAAGTTCCGTATTTCACAGAGCCCTTTATTGTCTGACTCTTCTTTAAATTCGAATGTATTTTGGGGGGTGTTGCTTAAATTTAGTTCACAAATAGCATCTAAAGGAAGGAAGAAAGGATGAGCAAAGAGCCCCAAAGTGTCATGGTGAGCACTTCTTTAAGAAAATGGAGAACCATCTTCAAGGAGATCCTGCGAGCACCAGCCATTCAGTGCGCAGAGAGCTGCGACGTCCACACGGCGAGCCCTCCACACCGCTTCAGGGAATGGTTACACATCTCTCCTCACTCCTCTGACTCCTCCTGTCTAACTCAGGCCGGTAGATTTCAGCCACCACGCAGTAAACAGCATGCGGTGCGAGAGCTTCAACCTCAATGACCCTGTGAGCTCCTTCATACACCTTTTGCTCCTAAACACAAGGGAAAAAAAGAGACCATACATGGTTTTCAGGAATTTCACTGATTTGCTCTATTTTTGATAAAATTAATAAGTTGTTCAAAGTCACAGTAGTAGATGGGCTGTGGAGTTTCTTCCCAGATGCGTCCCTAGAGTGGTGGACCCCAGCCTGACAAGGAGACGGGTCAGGTGGCTGTGGAGGTGCTACGTGAGGGCAGCTGATTGATTGACCAGCAGTCAGTCTCTGTCAAGAATTTGCACTGTGCAGCGAGGAGAATGGAGCAGATCTGGAGACAACTGTGGACATGTAACGTGTGACCCCAGAGAGACAGAGTGGCAGTCTTTAAGACTCGCTGCTCCATTTCTCCTTCCAGTCGCTACAAAGCCTGGCAGCCCTGTATTTCCTGCTCTGGCGGTCCATAGGATTGCTTGTATTTCCTGATTAAACTCCTCCCTCCCCTCCACTTTCCTACTGGAACCAGTTTGACTGGCTTTCTCTTCCTTACAACCAAAGGAACCCTGTCTTAGATGGACACCAAAAAAGAACACTGAGGGGCCGGCCCACTCGCGTGGTGGTTAAGTTTGCAAGCTCCACCTCAATGGCCCGGGGGTTCACAGGTTCAGATCCCAAGTGCGGACATACACCCTGCTCATCAAGCCATGCTGTGGCGGCATCCCATATAAAGTAGAGGAAGATTGGCACAGATGTTAGCTCAGCAGCAATCTTCCTCAAGCAAAAGGAGGATGATTGGCAACAGATGTTAGCTCAGGGCCATCAGGGTCAATCTTCCTTACCAAAAAAAAAGTATTACTGAATTAACCACGAAACCAAGTTAAAGCACTGATAGTGGAGAAGAATATCACAGCAAAATTGGCACAAGCATATGATGCTGAGATCCAAAAGCTTCTTAAAATAAGGTGTGCGAAGTCCATAAAAATGAATATTGTGGCAATCAAACGGACTGAAACATTGTTAACACCAGTCTTTAGATATGCAGGGAAGAGGAAGTGGAGGCAAGCTGAGCGGCTGAAAGGAACAAACAGACACACAAGTTCTGATGGTGAAGCCGGCTCTGACGTCATCAGTGAGGGGAAGCGAGAAGGAACTGAGAAAAGATAAAGACCAGATAGAGTAGCAAGAGAGAGGGCATATATTATGGCTAAAATGTTACTTAAATGAACAAAAGAAGAAAATACTAAACATCTATTCATCTGAACTTACCTTTTCTAGTGAATTGCTAATTATGAAGACTCGGTATACTAGCTGGTAGTAATTATCCATTGATACACTGTTTCCTTTTTGGTCTCTATGTGGTAAATTTGGAGCATGGAGAATCACCAACAAAGAGCCATTTACTTGGGTTATGTTCATAACTGGAGGATCTATTTTCGCTGGAGAAAGAATAGGAAATTTTGACAAATCATTCAAAAAACGTAACATTTCACATGGACACATTATGCATAACAACGTCATCATTAAATTCAGAGATCTGGTAAAAATCATTGTGCAAAGATACTGCTGACACCTAAAATAGAAATACCTGAGAAGTTTCTTTCAAGATAATTTTTATCTGCAAAGACTGATAGATTCTGTTTCAGCTTTAAAAGGACATTTATCATCATTTCCATAGCCCACAGTGATTGTTTTGGAAAACAAAGTATAAAAAGTTATTTGGGCGGAGATCTTAGAGTAAGATGAATGTTTTGTAAGTCCTTAAAGATGTAAGATTTCAAAGCAGCTTTAAAACCATTTGAAGATTTGTTGCTATAAAATGAATTCAACAGGATTGTGTTATATACTATGAAAGGGCAGGGGAACGATCACAAGAGGGAGGTTTGCTTCTTGCGTTTCGGTATCAATAACCAGATCACTATTAACCAGGAAAGAAAATCGGATAAATTAATAGTCACTTTAATTTTCCCCAGATTAACTATTAGTAATTCTGGGTGGATTTGATTCTCTAATGGAGTCTATTGTTTTCTTGTTTGGTATTCATTGTATACTTTCAGCTTGTAGATTCATATCTTTTACAATTCTTGAAAATTAGCCACTTAGATAGATAGATAGATAGAGATAGATGGATATATATGCTTTTATGAAATTTCATTTCAACATCTGTTAGAATTTCTTGTTTGATTCTCCATATGTCTTGACTTCTCTTTTATTTTTCCATCTTTTTTCTCGGCAGGCCTTCTGCGTGGTTTCCTCAGACCGTCCTCCAGTCCACCGGTTTACTAGTCAGTCATGTTTAAAGTGATCTTTAACCCCCCAGATTAAATTTTTTTATTTCAATGACTATATTTTTTCTATTTCTATGAGCTCTATTTCGGTCTTTTTCAATCTATCTGGTCTTAAAAAGTAATATTTTTTCCTTTGATTATGTTCTTGTTCCCTCTGTTACATCTTTAAATTCGTTTATTTTATTATTTGCTTCGAATATTACAAACACATGACGTGCAGGTTGGGTCAGTGTTCGCTTCTTTCAAACTTGCTTGTGTTGATCTGGATCCTTGTGTTTTTATTGTGAGCACGTGTTTCAAGTTGATATTTTCTTTTTTGTTACTTTGGTTTGAATTTTTAAATTTTAAATAAACTTTTTATTGACCTATAAGATAGATACAGTCAAATAAATAAATCATAAGGATATGGCTAAACAAATCTTTACAAATGACCACTCCTGTATGGCCGCACCCAGATCAAGAGACACGACATCACTGGCATCCCAGAAACCTTCCGTTTCCTCCCGTTACTTAACCCAGAAGATAACGCCATTGTCCTGATCTCTATCGCCATGTGCAGTCATGCGTCTCTTCATGACAGGAATACAATCCGGTAACTGTGTCATTCGGCGATTTCATTGTTGTGCGAACATCACAGAGTGCACTTACACACACCTAGATGGTACGGCCCACTAGGCTACATGGTACTGATCTTATGGCACCACTGTCTATATTTGGTCCGTCATCAACTGAGATGTCCTTATGCAGCACAGACTGTACATTAGTTGTTGGAATCATACAATATACAATGTTTTTTAGTCTGGCTTCCTTCACTTTTATTTATAACTATAATTATGGGCTGAATTATGTCCTCTTCAAATTTATAAGTTGAAGTCCTAACCTCTAGTACCTCAGAATATGCTGGTATTTGCAGACAAGGCCTTAAAAGAAGTGATTAAGATAAAATGAAGACATCTGGGTGGTATGGGTGGCCCTAATCCAGGATGAATGGTGTCCTTATAAGAAGACACAGACATGTGCAATCACAGAGGGATGAACATGTGAGGACACAGTGAGAAGGCGGCCATGTACACGCCAAGGAGAGGCCTCAGAAGAAACCAACCCTGCTGACACCTTGATCTTGGACTTCCAGCCTCCAGAATGGATGGAAAATCAATTTCTGTTGTTTAAACGCCCAGTCTGTGGTATTCCTAGAAAACTACTATATATATGTTTTCCATGTTGTTCGTGTATCAGCAGTTTGTTCTTTTGATTGCTGTGTGGTGTTTAATTGTATGACTGTCAGAACTTACTCATTGTGTTATTCACAGACTAGTTTCTGGATACTACGAATGAAGTTGCTATGGAATTCTTGCACATAACACTTGGGAAACATGCATTTTGTTGGGAATATAACTAAGAGTGGCCTGGCTGTGTGACAGAGTTTATACATGTTTAGCTCTTATAGATCTTGCCCGTTCTCCACAGTGGATACACCAATGTATATCCCCTTCAGTATGAAAGCTCCCATTTTACACATTCTAACACTTGGCATTATTATTTTTGAAAATTTTAATTGTAGCCATTCTGGTAAGTGTGTGGTACCGATTCATTGTATTTTTAAACTGCATTTCCCTGATGGAACATCATACGTTTGTTGGCTATTGGATATCCCCTTTCATGAAGAGCATGTTCAAGTCTTCGGCCACTTTTTAATTGGTTGTCTTCTCTTATTGATTTGTAAAAGCTCTCCATACATTCTGGGCAGTCTTTTATCAAATTACACATTGTAAATATTTTTCTCTCTGGGGCTTGCATTTTCATCGTTTTAATGGTATATTCTGATAAATAGTAGTTCTTGATTTTAGTGTAGTTCAATTTATCAGTTATTTCCTTCATCATTAGTACTTTTGGGAGTCTACCTTCCCCAGAGTCACGAAAATATTCTCTCATATTATCTTATAGAATAGCAGTGAGCAAACATTTTCTGTAAAGGGCCAGATAACAACCATTTTTAGGCTCTGTGGGCCATATACATCTCTGTTGTGATTACTCGACCATGCCACTGTAGTGGAAAGGATAGACAAAATGTAAACGAATGAGCTTGACTATGTTCCAATAAAATTTTATCTATGAAAACAGAAACAGGTCAAATTTGGCTCATGGGCTGTAGTTGCCGAGTTTTATTGTTTTCATCCAGCCAGACTTGATTCTGTAAATGGGTCAGGTAGGGGACCAAGATTTATTGTTTTCCCCATTGATCCAAGCTCATTGATTAAAAAGAACAGAGTTACTGAACTGCACCACGGATGTAGATCAGATGACCATACACATGTTGTGTTGCTTCTGAACTCTGGTTTAAGGGCCTGACTTTGCTTCTGCAAGGTGTCCTGTGGCACCACCAACCTGGTACAACCTCAAGTTGGTGTTTTCTGAAACATGAAAGTTGCATATATTTGAATCTCAAACTTTGTGAATTTAGGAAACCCTTGATTGTTAAGAGTCAAGACTGAATACATCCTTCTTCGTTTCCTCTCTTCCATGCATGGAAGGGTTTTTCTGAGTCTGCTCTTTTATTGAGAGTGTAGTCCCTCGAGAGTCCAAGACTTTACAGGGCACTGGGTGTACCTTGTACGGGTACAGCTTTGTCTCCTGCCCCAGGTACGGCTTTTCTTTTATGTGACTCAGTGTTTAGACTTACTTCAAATGGTAGAAATTAGTTGAAGATAAATACTGGCAAGACTAAATACTATTGTGTATTTTTTTCACTAAAATATTTATATTTAAGCTGACTAATATTTGCCTTTTCTGGCCCAAGTTATGATAATTGAAGAATTTTCTTTTATCATATGCATATACAATCTTTGAATGTATCAATCCATTATCTTTGATTTTGATTGTTTAATGTGATATTTGATCCTGAATACAGATGACGTACATGGCCTAGACAGTGAGCCTGGCTGCAGACATCACAGGGGGCCTGGTGTGTGGTCTGTGACTCTGGGCTTTGTAACTGAGTGACCATTCCTGACCCAGTCAGTGGACTGTGATTGTGTTACACTGGCAGTTTAAGATTACTTGACCTACAGCACCATTTAACTGGTTGACTGCTCTCTCCTTGAAATATCCTCTTCCCATGGAATTCATGAATATAAGAGTCCACTGACTTCCTCCTATGTCTTTGTCTATTTCTTCTCAATGTCCTTTTAGGATTTATCTTCCCTACTTCGGCACCTTTTGTTGGGATTCCCTCAATACCTGGTCTTACTCAACACTCCCTCTCAGTCAATCCTCTCTCCAGGCAATTCTATCAATGCCCATTGTATTATATGCCAATGACTCACAATTTCTCTCTCATAGAGTTCTGAGTCTGTATAGCTAGTTCCTTTGGATGTCTGAAAACCATCTTAAACTCAGCGTACTCAAAATTGAGCTCATGATCTCAATTACTCAGAACCCCATCAGACTGGGCTTTTTCCATCAAACCCCATCAAAAACATTTCAGTGACTCGTCTAGTTGTGCAAGCCAGAAACTTAGAGGTTGTCTTTGACACATCCTTACCTCTATGTCCAACCTGTCACCAAGTCCTGCCAATCTTTCCTACCATATGTCCCTCCAGTGATCCATTCTCTATAGCCCTTTTCATGATCCTAATTCAAGCCAGGAGCTGTCTCCCTTAGACTATCACAGGAACCTGCCACCTCATTTACCTGTATGCAAACTACTCTTTTTCTGATCTGTACCTAGAGCCACAGTAGTCTTTTCAATACACAAATCTGATCATGCGGCCCCCTGATTTTTCTGGAGGAAGTCATAACTCCTTAACAGAAACTTCTCCTTCTCCATCTCCAGCTGCTCCTCGCTTCATGCTCATTCTGCCTGCTCGTCTTTGCCATGCAGCTGGCTCTCAGGCTCTTAGATCTGCCGTGCCTCCCCCTGCCTGGAATCTTCTACTCTACCCTCTTTGCCTAGTTAACCTCTTCAGACATCTTTAGATATCAGCTCAAGTGTCACTTCCCCAAGATGCTTTTCCTGACATCCCTATCAGGTCCCCTCTTGACTAGGCTCTCATAGCACTGGGCATCTCTTTTGTACCACCTGTCTTTGGTATCATCTTACGTTTGCTTGTGTGATTATGTCATTATTGTCTGTCTTCCTCATCAAACGGAAA